ATTGCAGGGTGGACTGGCCCGCGCAGCCGCTGTAGGTCAGGAATCCAGCTGGGGAAAGCTCTGTCACCTCCCTGGCTTCCACAGGGCTGAACTCCTCCCAGGCTCCACGAGAATTTCCTTCTTAGTTCGGTTAGGTGACTATTGGTTGCTGACTTGAAGAGGGCCTCCCACAAGGCTGCTCCCATCATGGCTGCTGGCTTCTTCTGGGCAGGAGGGTAAGAGACAGTGAGACACAGTGCTTGCCTGAGCAGGCAGTCTGTGATGGACTCTTTCGTCCTTTGTAACCTACTCAGTGATAGCACATCACTTAAAGACCTCATTTATTGTATCTGTACTTTCTACTTATTTATTTTAGCCCTGGCTGTGCTGGAACTTGTAGACTAGGCTAAACTTGAACTCAGAGATCCACCTGTCTGCCTCCCGAGTGCTGAGATTAAAGGTGTGTGTCACCACCCCGGCTTGTATCTTTATTTATAGTATGATTTTAATATGTATTTATTTAGTAGACATAAGGTCTTGCTGTCCTAGATCCCTCAACACCCCTACCTTGACCTCTAGAGAGTGTTTGTATTACAGGTGTGTACCACCATACCAAGTTTAAGACTTCATTTAAATTTAAATTTTTAATTTTATTTATTTTTGACAACAGGGTCTCATGTAGCCCAGGGTGGGTTCAAACTCACTAGCCAAGGCTGCCTTGAACATTTTTGTTTGTTTTTCAACTGGGTTTCTCTGTGTAGTTCTGACTGTTCAGAGACCAGGCTGCCTCTTCCTCCGAGTGCTGAGATTAAAGGCGTGTGCCAGCACAGCCTGGCCCAAACTTATTTTAAAAGGTAGGGTTTTACTACCTTTAAAGGGTAGACCAGGCTGGCCTTGAACTCACAGAGAGCCACAAGTCTCTTCCTTCTAAATTCTGGAATCAAATGAAAGGTGTGTGCCATCACACCTGAATGCTTGAACGCTTGATTTTCCCACCCCTACCTCAAAAGTACGAGGATTGCAGACATGTGACACCATGCCCAGCAAAAGTTTACTTTTCAGAGTAATTTTGCTTTTATTTATTATTATTTTTTTCTAATCTGTATGCATAAGTACAGGGATCTGCTGAGTCCAGAAATGGGCATCAGATCCCCTGGAGCTGGAGTTACAGGTGTCTGTGAGCAACTGGAGGAGGATGCTGGGAACTGAACTCTGGAAGAGCAGAAAGTGCTCTTAACGACTGGAGCAATTTTAAATTCCTAGTGAGATTTAGCAGAGCAGGGAGTTCTCTCCGTCAGTCCTCTGACACAAACAGCCCTCCATGCTCTCAGCAGCCCACACGAAAGGAGCGCATCTGTACACTTAGTGAACCAACACTGAGAGTTCACTGTGCTGTATGGATTGACAAGGACATAATGGCGTGTGACCACTCTTATGTGCAGAATAGTTACTGTGTGCTAAAGAATACTGTTCTGTTCATCACTCTTTCTAAGTGATCTGTTGTTTGATCACATAAAATCCTGCATTTTTAGATTAACTTCCTTCACTTAGTAATACACTGAGCTTCAACGACTTGATAGCTCATTTCTGCTCAATGCTAATAATATTCCATTGTCTGGACAGTTGATTCACCTACTGAAGGGCAGCTTGGTTGCTCTCAGAGTTTGCAATGATGAATAAAGCTGATATAAACATTTCTGCATAGCTTTCTATGTGCACATATGTTTTCGGCTCTCCTGGGTAAATACCAAGGAGCAGAAATGCTGGGTCTCACTATGCAAGCATGGTTAGTGTTGCTAGAAACTACCCACTGTCTTCTGAATACCTCCATGTTGCTTTCCCACAAACAATGAATGGGTCTCCTCGTGCTCGTACACATTTGAATCGTTAGTTCTAGGTTCTAGCCATTTTGATCAGTGTGTAAGTGATATCACGGCGTTGTTCTAATTTTCAGTTCCTGGATGGCTTATGAGGCTTTACCACACCAAGAGCATAAATAGTAGACAACTCTCTCGAGGGGTGTTGCTATAAAAAAGAAATGAAAGGTGCATTATTGTGGAGTTAAAATAGTGGGGTTCTTGGTTTGGTTGGTTTTAATTTTATTTTTCCATGACTGGAAAGATGGTTCAGCAGTTAAAAGAGTGTAATGTTCTTAAGGAGACCTGAGTTTGGTTCCCTGCATGTTTCAGGTGACTCACAGCTGTCTTTAAGTCCAGCTCCAGGAAAACTAACGCCCTCTTCTGGCCTCTTCAGGTACAGCATACACACAAAATCACACAGAGACAAGATTTCCAGTCTAGGTAGTTCTTATCCACAGTGGGGATCTGTGCATTGAATATTCAGCTTCATTTTATGTTACCCACATACCTCAGAGTACTGTGGACAACAAGGCTGGCGTGTGTAAGCGAAAAACCTGGGAAATTCTTTATGTGAACTCTCTGGTAGCCCTGCTGAGATCATAAGCGAGAGCATCACAGCCCAAGGTTTTCAGGGCACACACCTCTGCATCCTCCAGCTGCCCACGGCAGCCATGCAGGCTGACTTGGGCAGATGAGATCGTTCTGCTTCATCAAGAGCAGACATTCTCTTGGCTCACACACAAGCCTCCAGCTGCTTAGAACAGACAAGCTGTCGGGGAAGAGACCTGCATGTGGCAAACTGCCCAATAACCCCAATTAAAAAAGAAAAAAGTACCCAACTGGGGCAATCACTTAAACCATAAACAACGTCTGCTGCTGCTTTCTGATCTCACTCTGCATCGCAGCAACACACAGAAATATGCACCAAACACAAACACAAGAGCCCATGAATGGCCTCATTAATCTAGCAAAGCAGATTCCCACATCTGTGTCTGCTGGTCCATTGAGGACATGAGAGCCTTAGCTCCGGGAGACAAAGATCAAGACATGGTAGGATCCAGCTCAGGCAGGAGAATTGGTCTTGTGACTGCTCAGCTTGTGACCTTCGAACTGAGACTGGCCCATCCAGCCCCACCCTCGTCTGGATCAGGGTTATAAGTATTTAGCACTGCCCTGGGCAGTGATAGGGAAGCGAGAGAGCCTCAATCCCTCCAAACTGATTGTGGATCTTCTCCAGGAGGGATGAGCTAGTGGATGTCGGCAGCTAGAGCAGGAGAGAGGCCTGAATATTTATCCTGGGTTAAGTGCAGGATCGTGGCTAATGAGGACCTCTGATTGTCTTTCAGCTAGTACTATCAAAAGAAGCGTGAAGGTTAAAGTTCATACTTGTATCCCATTGACTGGCTGCTGCAGCGGCTTTCCGAGGCCCCTGCTTTTGCCTTCCCCATAAAAGAGAACTTTTACCGGGCTCCTACTCAGAGCACAGATAGAATGGAGGACTGTGGACTACCTCAGTTTCCCCTCAACATTTATATCAACACGGGATCTTATTGATATTCCCCCCTGGAAGGGATGAGTGAAATCACCTGGTGCGAGTGGCAAGGAAACACGGAACATGCAACAAACCCGCTTGAGTTTATTAGAGGGGGCGTGTACAGGCCCCGAGAAGTCAGTGTGCAGAGAGAGAGAGAGCTGAAGATGGTGCCTCCAGCTTTTAAGGGCTGCCTAGCGCATGCGCATAGGGGATGGCATGGTTATGTCATATGCAGGTGACGGAGCTCACGCATTAGCATTAGCGCAAGGGCTCACTCAGCTGTGTCATACGCAGGTGATGCAACCATGCTACACGTGGGTCAGCTGCCCGAGGGCTTGTCCGCACAGGCGTGGCCCTGGAACTGGCAAGTGTCAGCCATGTTGTGTGGCTTACAATCCTTACAATGAGAAAAGGCTAAAGAGCCCAGAGTGTGATCTAGCTGAGTCTGGAGCTGGGGATAGATGCTTTCTGATAGTACTGTGTGCCTTAACAACGCACTTGGTGGCGTCCAACAGAAATGCCAGCTCAGTTCTGGCCACCAGAAGCCCCAAAACCAAGGTGTCAGCAGAACCAAACTACCTCTAAACACTGAAAGGAATCCTTCCTGTGCCTCCCTAGCTTCTGGCTGCCGACAGAGTCCTTGGCATTTGGGGCGTGTAGTCGCATTCCACCCTTTGCTGTGTTTCTGTCTTCCCGTCTCAGAAGGATTCCAGTTGCCTTTAGTTAAAAGGGCCCACCCCTGTCGAGTGATGGCAGAGGTCTTTAATCCCAGCACTCAGGAGGCAGAGACAGGCGGATCTCCACTGACTTCCAGCCCAGCGTGATCTACAGAGCAAGATCCAGGACAGTCAGGGCTACACAGAGAAACCCTGTCTGGAAAAAAAAAAAAAAAAAAAAAAAAAAAAGGCCCATCCCAATGACCTCAAATTAACTTGATCACAAAGCTAAGGCTATTTCCCAATAAGATCACGTTCACTAGTACTGGAGGGTAACACTTCACGTCTTCTGAGGGATGTTTGATCTCTATCACCCATGTCTGGCCTCAGTGCTGTTGATTTTTCTGCAATACCAACTCCTCTCGTCCAGAGTCACAGAAGTGCTCCAAGAGCAGTGTGTTTTCAGATCTTGGCCAGCATCGGAAGTTCACAGCCAGCAGTGAGCTTTCCGGATGTGGGGTCTTCTGCTCGCATCAGCCCCTCTTCAAAGATATTCTACTCCGCATCATGTCAACGTCACAGTTTCCTCAACAGGAGCGAATTCTGTTACATAATTAGGTGTGGGTCTTTAAATGAAAATAAGGACAAAAGGGTGTGGCACAGTACTAAATGCAGTGTCTGACTTTAAGAATCACGCCCTACACTCTGTGGCGCCAAGAACCTCTGCGGTCAGGGCGATAAGTGGTTCTGGGTTGGGCGCAGGCTAGGACGCGCTGAGGCCACCAGGGGACGCGCGAGGGCCGGGGAGTTGGGACAGGGCGGGAACCCGGGCCAGGGCGGGCAGGGCGGGCAGGGCGGGGCCCTGGGCCACTCTGGTTGGCTGCGACCCGTTCTCTCTGTCCAGCCCATTTTAAACTTGGTCCGGCCGGGCGTCTCCCCTTTTCCGCCGCGGCGTGCTCCTGGTAAGTAGTACTCGTCCTGCGGAACGCTAGATCCCGCCACGTGGCCTCGGGGATCCTCACTGCGCCAGCCCCGCGTGTCGGTCCCGGCCGGGTGCGTGTCCCCTCGGTGTGGGACTGGGGCTCGGCCTCGGCGCTGTTCGGATTTGTCTCCTCCGGGGTGAAGGCACAGAGTCAAGACTGTCCCCGGGTCCTTGGCACACTCGGGGCTCCCGCCTGCCCAGTAGTCTGGTGACGGGGACATCGCCTATTTAGGAAGCGAATGAGATCAGAGATCAAGAGTAGCAGGATAATTTCAATGTTAGCAAGGAAAGGAGGTAATTTCGCCCACACAGCCGCGTTCTCGGCACAAGTGCCCTTCAAATGCCACTTTGTACAGAGACTTTTTTTTAAGGTTGGAAGGTGGCTTCTGAGAGCCGATGACTGCAAGCGAGTCAAGCAGGGCGCTCTGCGCACCCACAGTGGCAGGATTAGCCAGTGCTTTATGTTGCCTAGCCTTACTCTGACACAAACCCACCCTGCCTGGGTTTTGTGTCCTGGGCAAAAATCTGAGTCTCTGGGTCCACACTTGTACAGGGATTAGATACCTAACTTCTGTGCTCCGTGATGTAAAAACACTTTGTTCCTAAGACCAGGCATAGGTGTCTTCTGAGCACTTGGGAGTCCTGCCTGCACACTGCCGCTTTAACATCTGTGAGGTCTAAATTTAGACGTGAGTGAACGAAGGAAGGTACTGCTTGGGTTTTGTTTTTTAATCGGTATGTGAACTTGTGCTTGTTGGGTTCCCATTCTGGCCCAGGGAATCTTTCTGCTCTAGTACTGTAAAGTGTTGGGACTTAGGGGTACAGCAGTACAGAGAGCCCTTACTCTTCGTGAAGCCCATTTCAGAGCGAAAACCTTCTGGGCTATTGTGAACAATATCCAGTATTCCCTGTGCTGCAAAAAAGAAACATGCCGTATCTTGTGAACAATATCCAGTATTCCCTGTGCTGCAAAAAAGAAACATGCCGTAGTTTTAAGGGTTAGGTTTCTATTGAGTCCTTCGGATTGACACAGTCTAAGAGCCTAGAGTGAGGGACAGCATGAGGTCTAAGGACTCCGGACAGAGAAGTTCCAGGACTACAGGTTTCTTCCCCCTCCCTTTTCAGCTTCAGCAAGCGTTGATTGATTGATGCTTCTGATTTTGAAATCAATGAAAGTGCTTCAGCTTGCCTTAAAGAAATACTGCAGCTAGTCGTTTTTAAACTTGATAAATTATCTGATTGTGTGACTGATTCAGTTGGAACGATGGCACAGAGGGAATAAATAAAATAGATTCCCATCTGTCGGAAATGTAAAGATCACAGCTTTGTACAGGAGTGTTCAGAGGCAGGACTTATGTCAACAAAGGCAGTTAGCCCCAAGAAAGGTTGGTGTGTGCCTGTGGTTTTCTTTTTAATGGGGTGGAGGGAAAGCTATGGCCTGGTACTTGTGCCATTGTTGATGCTTTTTTTTTTTTTCTTACACAGGTGCTGTGTGTTCTGCCCAGAGCGTTATGAGCACAAGGTATGAGTTAAATGAAAAGGTTTGTGATTGTCGGGCACAATTCCAGAAACAATTCTTGGCCAAGGATGAGAACTCTAACCTGATTGGATATGCTGCTCTGATGGGTTGAAGGATTTACCTGAGGCCAACTTAATAGGAATTTAATGTAGTCACACCACCTCTTTATAGACAGGGACAAGGGGACCGTGTAGTGAGGTGGTTTAGGAATACCAAACCTGACCTTTGAATTTGGTTCCTGGGCCCTATGGAAGAGAGAACCAAGTTATCCGTGGACCTTCATGTGAGTGCTATGGCACCTGTGTGCACACAGAATAATAAATCTCTGTTGGTAAATGGAGCAAGTTGAATTACCAGATGTACTGGATAGCACGCTGAGGATTCTGTTTATGCAAGGTCAACATTGTCTAGACATCAGCATGTTACTATAGTATTGTTGGTCTAATTAGTTACCTCCGGTATTTCTCCTGCAGCCTGGTGCTTGAGATGAGCTAGTGCAACTTCGAGAAGAAAAGGTATGCAATTGTAGTTAGAATCAAACAAAACATTGATTTGGGGCAATCCCAGTTGCATAGATAGAAACATGCAAATCTTGTCCTATAGAATTCATTTTCGTTAGTTTAACACAAAAGATCTTTTTGAGGTTTTTATTTATAAAATAGTTTTGTTTTTTTTTTTTTTTTGCCTTCCCTGAAACTGGAATTAAAGTTGTGAGCTGCTGTGTGGGTGTTGGGAATTGAAACTAGGTTCTCTAGAAGAGCAGCCAGCTAGAACTTTTTTTTTAAAGATTTATTTATTATGTGTACAACATTCTGCCTCCATGTATGCCCACATGCCAGAAGAGGGCACCAGATCTCATTACAGATGGTTGTGAGCCACCATGTGGTTGCTGGGAATTGAACTCACAACCTCTGGAAGAGCAGCCAGTGCTTTTAACCACTGAGCCATCTCTCCAGCCCTAAACTCAGGCAACTCGGGAGAGTGAGGTGTTCGATGAGCTCCACTGGGTGTCTGGGCTCAGTACCTGCCATGTGTGCACTCTATTATGCTCAAATGCCTTGTAGAGAAAATCAAATTGGAATTTAAATTTTTTTAGAGAACCTCATAATTATGAGTCTCAAACATATGTACATGGAGAACTTCACACTCTTCATCTAGTGTGAAGCTGTGACCTCAGACATAACTGGTGGGATGGGGTCGGATGGTCATAGTCTGTCCCTTTCTCAGCACACGCTAACCCCGCTGGCAGACACTATTCCGGAGGCGACCTGGGCCTAACTCCTCTTCCCATCCCTGGCATCGTGCTGACAGCAGCACAGAACGCACGTGCTTCTTCTCAGGGAAGAGTGCTGTTACTAGAGACAAGCCTGGCCCAGTGGAAGAGCTTCCTTAAAGCTATCGGACTCCAGCACGGGAATCTGGCGGCGGGGCCCTGGGTCCTACTCCTCAGCCACTGGTCTCTTGTCTCACCATAAATATTCTTATTTCTATGTTTTCTCTCTCTTTTTTTTTTTTTTCAGGGAAGTGGCAGTGAAATTACCTGACGTGAGTAGGTCAGATGTTCCCGACAGCTTGCTCAGGTCTGCCATCACCTGCCAGCTGCCTTAGCCTGCTTTGAGCACCCATCTCCAGCCCTGCTCATGTAGAAAAAGACGCCCCCCCCCCTTACCATGCACTGTTGCAAAGTAGCCCTGTAGTGTGGCCCCATGGCTGCCTGAACTTGACCTGAGCAGATAGCCCCTAGGAAATAGAACCCCCCCCCCCCCGACTTTTTCAGGAATTATGAGGCCAGTTTCCCATTCTTCCCTAAATAGTCGACACTGGCCCCTTCCAGGTGACATCATAATAGCATCCTGGTTACATCAGGCACAGACCTGGGGGCCTGGCTGGGACTTCTGTTTTGCCCATAAAAGGGAAAAAAAATTACCCATGAAGGAAGAATCTGCCCTAAACCTTCAAAGGCCCTAGAAAACCTAACTTAACAGCTCTCCCTGGCCAAGATACTGTTCTCTGCTCCAGCATCCCTACAGTTGGTGTCCAATAAACTGTTAACCTGTCTATGGAATGCTCTTGTTCTGTGTTTTCATTGTCAACTTGTAAGTTCCAGAGGGTTTCCGGGTTGTCTTTTTCTGCCACCACGTATCCTTCACACAAACACTGATTTAATGTGTTAACTGTTTGCCTGCATATATGCCTAGAACCTTCAGAGATCAGACAGGGCATTAGAGGTTGTTAGCCTCATCTGGGTGCTGGAAACCAAATCTGGGTCTTCTGGAAAAGTAGTCTCCTCTCTGTGGAACATCTCTGCAGCCCCACTTTTGAGGGTCTTTAATACTACATTGTAGCTGGGCGGTGGTAGGCCTGCCTGGTCTACAAGAGCTAGTTCCAGGACAGGCTCCAAAGCAACCTTGTCTTGAAAAACCAAAAAAAAAAAAAAAAAAACCACCATTGTATTAGATGAGTTGGCAAATACGCATGTCCTGTGGTAAAGATAACTGCCATCTATGGGAGAGACAGTGCCACGCCTATTTGGCCGTGCAAGATGGTCGTTAGGCATCTACTAACTTGTCAAAGGGAAATGATTTAGGTTTTGGGTCATAAGGAAGATTCAATTGTGAGGAAATGAATACCTATTTCCACAGTTTCCACCACGTTCCTACAATGACTTGGGATTGTTGTCAACAAATACTAAGTGGTACAGTAGTTAGAAGAGGGAATGAAAGCCCCGAAAGAGGATGGCAGGGAAATGAATCACAACGACATTCCGTGCTGTCAGCTGGGGCCCGTTTGGCTCTGAGCTCCCTAGCAGCAAAGAGCCAGCTCTCAAAAAACGGCTGTGACAATGGAGCATCATTTTAAAGCAGAAGAGGGGAGGAGCCACCTGCACTTGAGGCTTCCCAAGGGTGAGACATGTTTTTCCCTGTAACCTGGAGCACTGGCTAACTAGAGGAGGATCTAGAGAAAGTGGAAAAGACTGGGTTTGGCCCCAGAGTGGGCAGGCAGGCAAAGATTCATAGGAAACCTGGATCCACTCTTCTGGATGTCAGACGGAAGCCAGGCTAACGCAGAAGCAAGCCATGGTGGGACAGAACAAGATCAGTCAGGTGTGCTTGAAGGGTTTTTATCCTGTATTAAAAAACATTGCGTTGGCAGGATTTACCTTGTATTTATAATCTGAAGACTCCTGATCCCCTGTTCTCTGATACTGATATAATTGTGGTTTATCAGGGGTCATACAGCCAAGGTTAAACGGCCTCCTGATGATGCCCGCTGTAACTGCAAGGAGCCAGAAGTCTTCACCCTCCACCACTGACAACTGCATCCCCAGGCTCCAGTCTCTTTCAGAGACAGATCAAACTCAAATGTTTGGTGTGTCACTTTGATTTTGTTTCTGGGAACAGAAGGAAGCATTAGTGTTGAACAGGTCCCTGGATCTGTAGCAGAGTAGCACCCACTCTATAGCTTATCAGCCTCCCACGGAGGCACTTGGGAAATCATAGTTTGGAACTATTCTAACATGGTAGCTACCATTGACATGTGACTTCAATACTTGAAATGTGTCCAGCACATTTGGTGTGTGCTGTGTTGTAGAAATCAGATGGGATGAATGTGGAAAAGATTCCAATTTTACAATGATTATCATTGGGTTGAACGAAACAGTTTGAAATTATGCAAATATGGTTTGTATTGTATGTCTTGGACAATACTGGTCTAAGATACAAAGCAAAACATAGCCAGGGAAATAAATAGTGGCCCACAGTGTAATAGAACAACGTTGCTGTTCTACCACACAGACCCTCAGGGAATGGTAAATTAGCAGTTAAGATGCAGGATTTGCAGGGAAGCAACTGTCTTTTCCGAGGGTGGAATTTGAGAGGCGAGCGAGCCAGTACTACTTGGCACAAATCTGCATGCAGCTTGTAGTCCTGGTGATATTAAAGACTTTAGTGTATTTGCTAAACAATCTTGTTCTCACCCAGTCTGCATAAACATTTGTGTGCTCATCAGAGAAACCAAGAGCCAACATTTAATGCAGATGCTGCAGGAAAGTGCAAGCTTCCCTAGTGAAAAGCAGATGCAGAATCCTGGTGCCTCCATTTGTGCGCGCGTGTACGTGTGTGTGTGTATGTGTGTGTGTGTGTGTATGTGTGTAGTATTGCAGTCTTCCAGGCATTTTTACAGAAGGAGAGAAGTTGGGAGAGGTGGTACATAAATACCACCAGGACTTGTAGAAAGTATTTTTTTTTAAGGCCTTATGTTAAGCAAAATGTTTCACAAGGTTCTCTTTCCCTCATTTTCACTTAACTACAAAAAGCAATCCTGTGAAGATTCCCTTTGGAGTTTTCTTGCTACTAATAATATTTTGTTTTCTTCTGCGAGATGGTAGGGATTCAATCCCAGGGCCTCAGGCATGCTATTCCAGCCGGTACGCTAATCCCAGCACTTGGAGGCAGAGGCAGGTAGATCTCTGAGTTCAAGGCCAGCCTGGTCTACAGAGAGTTTTAGGACAGCCAGAGCTACCTACACAGAGAAACCCTGTCTCAAACCACCACCCCCTCCCCAAAAGTGATTTCCCATGGAGTTACAGCCCTGGCCAGTCATTCTCTTAACAGTGAGGAAATTCTTCCTTTGTTTTCACATTTTATTAAACAGGGGCTCTTAACCTTGGTAATATCTGGAGACCTGTGATTTTCATAACTGGATGAGGGATGATCATCTAGTGGGTGCTACAAGATCTCCCACCAGGGCAGCCCTACAACAAAGGATGATCTGACCCAAAATGTCAACAGTGCAGGAGCTGATAAACGCTGTCTTAGAAAACCTCGCTCTCCACCGACCTGCCTAGATTACTCGCACCACACAGAGAGGCGTGAGTGCTCAGGGGGCTTTACTGCCAACCCCAGTGCTTTCACGTCCAGATGGCCTTACATTGCATAACATTTATAAAACTGTGACTAATCACTACTTCAAGCCGAGAGCTATACGGCTTTTCTTCTAGTTTCCTCAAAAAGCTAGCGTTAGTGTTGACTAAATGGTGACCAGAAATCCCATGCTCACTGCAAACTACATGGATTCTTACTCAGAGCTGGTCTTAGCTTGATGGATGAAGTGAGGCTTGCTCACGCTGGCCACCAGACTGTTAGGAACGGACAAAAGGAATTTAGCCTAAGTACTGCCATTTTGTTTCAGACTCCATTTTAATTATAAGGTGAAGTTAAGTTCAAGTTCCCAGGGCCTAGGGGAGCTGGGGACTTTCTAGTTCCTGACCAGCTTCCTCAATAATCAATAAAAATAGCCTGCAAAATAGCTCATTATTCTTCTGTTCCCCCAAATAATAGATGTTTCTAATCACAAAAAAACAGATAGGTTTGATTGGTTGTACATTTAACATAGATCAAACACGTAAGGAAAGTCCCTAATCCCTGAAGTTTGACTGGTGGAAAATTGTAACTGTAACTTGGCACAGATGTTTGTGGGTTTTGCGCTTAAATACTTGCTGAGATGAACGTTTAGGGACACAGCTCCCAAGTCTGTGCTATTGTCCCTGACTGGTCAGCTTCTTTCCCTTTTCCTCATATTCCTGCTGCCCAATTCAATAACAATCTTGCTTTGTGTGGACTTGCTTTGTGTGCCTATTTGGGTTATTTTGGATTCTTGGATCCTAACATTTGGGGATGTTTCTGGGATCTGAACACCTACCCAGCAGAACCCCAAAAAACAAGGACTGTTTTCCCTTCATTTGGACTTCTGGAAGTATTCTGGTTTCCGGTTGGCACCTCTCTGGAGCCCAAGAAAGGAGAAACTGGATGCAGTACAGGAGACATCCTGGCCTCTCACTGATGCCTGGAGGGGAACACCTGGTTCAGGTTCTGTGTCTCCCTTAAATGTGTTTGTCTCATCTTGTCAGTCTGTCCATCACTCTCAGTGTTGGTTTTGGGTTTCACTTTTCTGTCATTCTCTGTCTTGTTGAATACTTTGAAACCATGGATAAGCTTCCTCAGCCCTTACACCCCTGGACCTTGTCTTGCAGGGTTCCAAGTATTCACAACTGACACCTAGGGAGACACTGTCTTCCCAGGGAAGCTCCACACCCTCTGTCAACTTGAATGGCCAGCCCTCCAGGTCGGATGGGCATTTGAAGGCTCTTTTAACCTGTCTAATCCAACTGTAGTTAGGAACATCATTTTTGGGTTACTGGGTCATCCTGACCAGGTCCCTTACATCATAGCCTGGATCTTACTAGAGTAGGAGTCTCCAAAATAGCTTAGACCTCATCTTCCACCTAAAAACGGCTCTATTCTGTCCCTTCTCACTCTAAAGCCCAGGGCGGCAGTTTTGCCTACATCTAAGGAAGAAATGTCACTATCTTACTCCCTCCCGCCTCAACCATGGGTGCCATCACCTCCCACTCAACCTGCCCCTTCCCCCACTCTCTACCCTGATCTTAGTTTTCTTCCAGGAACCCAGTCCTGAGACACCAACCCTCCCCCCCAGAACCCTTTCTTATCCCCTCCCCATACTTGCTGTGGTTTGATTCGCCAACCCTCCACACATTCATCCTCTGTCCCCCCACCCCCACCCCCTTCAGCAGGCAGGCACGGCTGACAGAAGGGAGAGGAAATAATCCTTTCTGGCTCTATACTCCATTCGCTACCAATGAGCTCTATAACTGGAAAACCCCAAATTTCCTTTTTCTGAGAAACTTCAAAGTTTAATCTTCCCTTTAGAAACTATTGGGATGACTGCCAACAGCTCCTGTAGACTTTTTCCTTATGAGGAGAGGGAAAGGATTATGAGGGAAGCTGGGAAATTGGCTCCTGGTGAGAACAGGTGGCCCAGCACTAGTCTGGCGATCATTGAGGCTGTTTTCCCATCATTCCACCCTGACTGAAACCCCAACACTGATGGAGGTAAGGATCCCTGAAAGTCTACCACCAGACTCTAGTGGGAGGTGTCTGTGCAGCTGCTAGGTGCCCTAACACTATGTCTAAAATTAATCACTATGTAGGAAGCAAATGAGTCTCTTAGAACAGCTAATGGAGGTCTATTGCTCTTATT